AGGTAATCGAGAGAGTAACTGTAGACAATAAAAAGTGAAGAGCAAAGTAAACTAAACGAAACTAAACGGCCGATATTGGACTGATGGTCCATCAGGGCAGCGAGGATCTAAAAATCCTATGCCGAGAATTTAATGTAGGGGAAACGGGAGTACCCCGAGAAAACCCACTTCCACTGGTAACGAATGATTCGTTACCAGTGCCCTATTAGCGAGAAGAAGTAAGTGGGGAAGGCAAAGTGAAGTCCGGTGCTGGGAGTGTATTAGCTATTGAATCTGTTGTGGAGTCTCCTGGTGTTCGCCGTGGTTTTAAAGTGTATTTTCTAAAGTTGTTGTATGCACTTGTGTGTATGTGTAATTTGTATATGATAAATATCAAAATATCGATGAACATTGTTTCGAAATTATCCTTATGCACACATCAAATTGCCTCAATACATAAGAATTATGTTACTTCGAAGATTTATCAGCATCTTATAACTAAAACTACTAAGCACAACCCTAAGAAAAATTAAAGCATTTAGTAGGTTAATAAGTGAAAATTTAAAACAAGCATGTTATGAAAACGTTGACTATTAATCGAACCAGCGAATTTCCTCTGAAACACTCCTGCATTCGTTTCACATTGTTAAATCATAAACATACATTTTAAAATTACAAATATATTATTGTTCTTATATGTGTGCCCTTTTACAGGCTGAACCCCGACCTTCAAAACATTTTGTATCCGCGCCTTGTGATCACCAGTTCATGTATTTTCGTTTCATTCCGGTTTTTGATTACATATTTTATTATTATTTTTTAGCAACTCTAGCAAATTTAAACGCATTTATATGGGAATTTGTTAGTATGGTTATATATGTTATTGAGATTCCTGTAACAAACAAAGTAAATGACTCACAATTGATTTGAAAAATAACAGTTTAAGAAAATTTATTTAAAAACCGATGTTTATGAGCCCCATCGATAATTTTGGTGTTAAAATAAACATATTGTTGCGTCAGCGAGGTCACGTGACTAGTGTCACGCCAACGTTCTAGAAATATCCTGTTCCTTCGTGAATGCCCTAGCATTTACTAGATTGGGGTAGTCTGGTATATATAAGATGGTCACAACTTGAGGGGACAACAGTGTAGTGAGTAATTGAACTGCAGTCAGAAAGTATTGTTGAAGTTGAGCACGTTCGTTGTTATAGCGCGACAGTTGAAGTTAAGTGTATCGTAAAGTTATATTCAGAAAGAATA